ACGCCCAGCCGTTCTCTCAAATTAGCTCTCACAAAGAAAAACAGTTTCAAATTAATATATAGATAAATTAATTAGAAAAACTCCTTATCATGAGTCCTAAGCCCAAAAACACAAAACACCAAAACTATCTTGTTTCTAGGCAATAAAATGAATTAATATTAATTTAATTCCAAACATTATGTTAATGTACAGACCAAATCAATGATGAACATATTGCTATTTTCAAATAAACTAGAGGACCTATGCTGCTCCGCAGCGTTAAAATAAATATTATATCCAAGAAATTATCAAATTTATGATTTTTGATTGAGTAATACAGTATCTTAAGAAACGATAAATAGCTCAAATTAAAGCTTATAATTTACTGATTATTTTGTGTTTAAAACATACATGAACAATACTGGAGATATTGATTTGTAATCATAATAAACCCATATGAAAAATATGTAGTTTTTATGTTGGTTGTTCACTTTGCGTTTGCTTGAAACCGGTCGGATTTGAATAACTAATAGCTTAAAAGATAGCCGGTAGGCTATTTCACTGAAGGTTATAGAAACAAAATATATAGGATTATATAATTTATTATGACTGGTAAAATACACCTTAAGTTGAAGTTATCGTAAATTAAAAAAAGAATCAAATTATGCCGATGCTTGTTGGCAAATCGGTGCGTGCATACCTTCAATTCGAGACCTCAATCATGAAAATCGGTCAGGTAGAAGAGCCAAACGAACTCGGAAAAGAAAACCCAAATTTAACTTCCATAAGAAATACATGGGGAGAAAATTTCATTTGCGTATACACCAAATGGGATTATAGATAAATATGTGCCGATGCTTGATGGCAAATCTGTGCCTGCATACCTTCAATTTGATACCTCAATCATGAAAATCGGTCGGGTAGAAGAGCCCAACGAACTCGGCAAAGAAAAGCCAAATTTAACTCCCATAAGAAATACATGAGGAGCAAATTTTGTTTACCTATAAACCAAGTAATACTATAGATAATTATATGTCGATACTTGATGGAAAATCTGTGCGTGCATACCTTCAATTTGAGACCTCAATCATGAAAATCGGTCGGGTAGAAGAGCCCAACGAACTCGGCAAAGAAAAGCCAAATTTAACTCCCATAAGAAATACATGGGGAGCAAATTTTGTTTACGCATAAACCGAGTAATACTATAGATAATTGAGACCTCAATCATGAAAATCGGTCGGGTAGAAGAGCCAAACAAACTCAGAAAAGAAAAACCAATTTTTTAAAAATATAACATATAAAAATAATAATATAATATAACATTTTATATATTTGATGGGTGTTTGCGAAGAAAGAGAATGGAAAGTATACAACTATTCTTGTACTTGTTGTAAACATAAAGGAGACATTATTTAACCCTTTTACCACAACGGGCCAATTAGATCGGACTAACCTGATTCGTGACAACCGCCACCGACCGATCTCATCGGCTCGCAAATTTGACGCGAAGACCGCCGCGGGCCGATATGATCGTCGCTGCAGTTCAGTGCGAGAAACGCCACGGGCCGATTAGATCGTATTTTTATTACTGCGCGGTTATTTATAGACCGATTTCCATTAATTTCATGTCTTGTTAAAGGCATGAAATCATTATAAATGGCTGTTCTTTTTGTTTTTATTGTTAAAGGTACTTTTAACAATATACTAACGTGTAAAGTCGTTTCGATCAAGTAGGCCGTGGCCTCGCGCCAAATGTCTTGGCTCCACGCTGTCTACGCCACCTGACGTTGGCGGCAATCTGTCTGTTGGCGGGATTTCTGTCATTGTCTTACTGTCATTGTCTTACTGTTTACTGCTGTATGTGGTCAGTGATGTTGTGATTTCGCCTTTTGTTAGTTATAACAAAGTTTTATGGTAATTTTTATATTGTGCTAGTGTTAGAAATGAGTAACAAAAGGTGCCCCGCTTCGCCCTTAAGTGAAAATACACTTGTGAACCAGATAGTTGCGAGTGGATACGAGGTACTTAGTGACAATGAAGACCGTGATTCCATTCTTGACGATATATCGTCTTCCGACTCTGAAGACATTGTGGATGATACAGATGAAGATCCAACGTATGATCCGGATCCGCAACAAACTCGTTTAGAATCCGTGTTATCTCTGAACATGGATCGTGGGCGTAGGCCTATAGGTTTTGATATAAATTTACCTGGACCTTCAGGCGGTTTAGTGTCTCAACGATCTGAGGAAAATCAAACCATGGCATTAGACAGGCCTCCAGATGTTGCAACGCATAGCAGTTCAGATGAGGACGACCCAGGCATTCCAGAGAATATGCAACGCATTGAAAATCGGTCGATCGTTCGAGGAAGAGGACAAGGTTCTAGCATTGGACGTGGACGTGGTCGTGTACGTGTACGTGGACGTAATCAAAATGGACCTACAGGTCCCAGAGTACCAGCACAAACTTCTGATTGTGAAAGTAGTGAGTGGGAGGAAATAGAAGATGGCCAAGATCCTGGATATGCTGAAATGTTTCCTTTTTCGGAAATGGCCGGACCCAGACATTGTCCCCCCCGAAACTCCAGCCCAATAGCATACTTCTATTTATTTTTTACCAATGTGTTGTTGAACACATTTGCAGTAGAAATGAACAAATATGCACAAGGGTATTTGAGTTCTCGTGAGGGCAATATAAGCCCCAGAAGCCGACTGCGATCTTGGGTAAACACAAGCGTGGAAGAAATTAAAGGTTTCATTTCCGTAATCCTAAACATGGGAATCATCAAAAAACCTACTGTCGAGAGTTACTGGTTTACCAGTTCTTCCCAATCTAACTCCTGGTTTAGCAAGTTATTCAGTCCAAACAGATTCAAAATTGTATTGAAGTTTTTTCATCTGGTTGACCCAAACACCCTCCCAAATCAGAATGAGCCGAACTACGACCCATGTGGGCGTTTTCAACCGCTAATTGACCATTGCAACCGTCTTTTTCGCCTTTACTATATCCCTTATGAAAAATTGTCAGTGGATGAATCCTTGGTGGGGCCAAAAAAACAGATCGCCATGACACAGTATATCCCCAAAAAGAAGCACCATCGGTGGGGCATAAAACTTTGGGTCCTGTGCGATGCTCTAACCAAATATTGCTCACAGTTTTACTGCTACAAGGGTGCTAGCTACGAAACCGACCGTGCAAGGGTAGATAAATATGGATTAGGGGCGAAAGTCGTGGTAAAACTACTCGAGATGGCAAATCTTCTGAACAAGGGCTATCACTTGTTTTTAGACAATTTTTTTGTTACAAAAAAACTTGCCAGATATTTGTACAGCAAATCTACATACCTAACCGGAACACAAAGGTTGGATCGCAAGGGTATTCCTCGCCAACTCAAAGGAAAGTACCCAGTTGGTAAAATGGTTTATGTGAGGAAGGGAGCGGTTTTGCAGATGGCATTCCGGGAGAAAGCTACTAACAAATCTCAATTTATTCTACTGTCAACAAAATCTGTGGCAAGGAACGTAAGATATGCAATACGAAGATCTGGCAGGGTTGTGATAAAAAATAAACCGGACATCGTCTACCAATATAATAATGGAATGGGGGGAATAGACGGGACGGATCAAATGTTGTATACGTATTTGGATGAAAGGAGATGTATGAAGTATGAGTTGTATGTATGAGTTTCAGCAAAATCATTTTCAAAACTATTTAGAATTATAATTTAATTTTATAGTGCTATGAGGAAGCTTGTTTTTAAGTGGAAAATATTTCTAGATGTAACAATTTCACGTAAAAAAACTGCAATGGCTAAATTGTTACAGAGCAATAATTGTACCTAGCAAATATGCCCAAAAATGCCTTTTTGTGAAAAATACACCTTTTGTTATTTTTTAATAGTATATTTTTATTTATGAATATTTCTTCTTAGAACTGTTGTTGTGGTCTCATAAGATAATTATGTTTCCGAAAATGTATAGTTTATGCATAAAAAAGTTATATATATATACACGTTTTAAAATTTTAAAATTGAAATTTTATAGTAAATTTACAATTTTTTAAAAACTTTTTCATATTAATAAAACTAAAAAGTGGTATAAGCTTTCCAAACTGTATATGTACATGTAGAACAGTTAAAGACAAACAAAACAAAACAAATTAAAGGTCTAGCTATTATTTACAAGGAGTTATGGTCGTTTCAATAGATGTCGGCAAATTAGTGGATTTCGCTGCGGCGATTCTCAGTCGTGTCGCCAGCTGTTGGGTTGGCGACCTTCAGACAGTCAGCTGACGTAGCGCTCAGCGGTCTTCGCACGCAATGTTGTATATGTCCGTGGCAGTAAAAAGGTTAATTAAGAAGTTTTTTAGTCATGTGATAAGTGGAAGTTCTGTATGGACAATATGTTCTAAAAATTTTCCATGGACAAAGTGTTTCTTTTATCGTGTAAAATTTAATTTGTAAAAATTTAAAATTTACGATAGCGTGTCAAGAAATAGTTTTTATATTTGGTCTGTACATAAACATATGTTTGGAATTTAAATTCATATTAATGCCAGTTGTTGGCTAGTAACAAGGTAGTTTTAGTGTTTAGTGTTTTTGGGCTTAGAACTCATGATAAAGAGTTATTCTAATTAATTTATTGTAAAATAAAGTTAGTTCTATAACTCTGCGTGTTCTCACTTCTATGCCAGTAAAACCCAAAGTAAAAACTCCACAGATTATACCCATAAATTCAATATTAACTAGGGCAGCGTTTCTCAACCTGTGGTACAGGTACACCACTATTGGAAAACTGAGGCCATTGGGGTGTTACGTGGATGTTAGAACGAGGACTAGATTGTTATATTTGTTTAATGTAATACAAAATAAGTAAGCAATTAAAAATATCAGTAAAAAATATATATTGTACCAGGTGCTCAGTACTTGAAAGGTATATTTCAATTGTGCAAATATAGCATAAGTTACTCTTTAGAAAGGTTCATACTATTGGGTTAGTCTAAGATTAGCAATGAGTTACCTCTGATAGGACCCAAGGCTGCATCCTTGGCCAAGCCTGTGAGGTCACTGCCTGAGTAGCCATCAGTGAGGGCTGCTAGGGAGTGAAGCTCTGCTACACTCAGGGGATTGTCATGGCGACTCAATAAGCGCTGAAGCAGCTTCATTCTGGTCTCAGCATCAGGTAAAGCAACATAGATACGTTTTGGGAACCTCCTACAATAAACAACAAGAATTTTTGTCATAATATACAGAAGTACTTATGTATAAGTAGGAAGTGCACTAACACAGTTTTTGAAAAAATCAAACATTTACCAAAAAACAATTTCAAAAACAGTTGCCAGTTGACTAACAATGATCTGTAGATAATTTGTAATGATACATCTTCCCAGCTAAATGTTAAAGGTTGAGGTATGCAGCTGAGATCGATCTTGGTAGTCCACCTAGTTCCATAATCCACTTAAGTTAGCCATAAATCTAATAACTAAGAGACTTTTACATGCACTTTACTTTGATGTAATCCTCTAATTTGTTGTCAAAACATGTAAATCTATCTTAGATATTTTAGGAAGAGGAAAGAAAATGCCTTTTTACCACACTATTATTTTTTTAGCTGTTTTACATACATTAATTGGTGTGGTGTTTTACATAGTTTTACATTAAGTGGTGTTTTACATTGTTTTAAGTTCTCGACTTTGTCTCGAACTTGAACCCTAGGAGTGGCGAATCGACAAAAAATGTCGATTTCAAAATGTGTTGCTGGAGTGGCGGGCGACAAAATTTGTCGATTAGCGTAACATTTTTTCCGTTGCATGTTAAGCACAGTTATAGTTGTTGAAATTACATAACTCTTATACCAATGGAAAGATGAGATTCTGAAGTATCATTTTATTATAAGAATGAACCTTATAACATTTTACAACGATTTTATAACTAGCTACATTTAAATGAAAAAAACACACTAACTCGTGAACGCCATGTTTCGTTGGGCAATCGTAAAAGATGAGTCATTTCAAAAAACCATAGCAGACGTAATTTTTATTTTTAACAAAAACAAGTGGTACCACTGCAATAAGCATGAAGTAAACTTCAATTCTGTAAAAACTAAAAAGTATAGTGTCATAATACATTCCAACAGCTGATGAACACTTTTTGTGAATAGTCAATTTTTACGTGTTGCTCATGAAAATTTACGTGAATGAATGAATTTTACGTGAATCGAAAAAAATTGTCGATTTCTAAATCGCATATACATACAATGTGAAAACAAAAACGTTGTTTTATATAATGCTCTTATAGACGAAGGACAGTAGAATTCAATGTTGTTAGGCTGGGCACACAAATAGAAGCTTTGGATAGGGACAGAACACTTGTCATCGTCTAACCTAAAATGGCGGCGTCGTCGTGAGTTTTTGTCCGATAACAAAGACGAAGTGTGGATTTTATCCCTAATTTTACAGTGTAATGTTCGTTTTAGTTTAGTATTTTGTACGAGGCGTAATATTTATGCATTATTTTGCATAAATATTTATACATGTGTGATCCAAAATAGGATAAAAAGTTAGTGAAGTTTTGTGGGCTATAACAGCTGATCAGTTGTTTTGTTTTCATTTTTGCTTTTGTGAAAACAAACTATTCTATTACTTATCTTATTTAGTTATCTATATAAATAAAATTAAAGTTTTGTCTGTACATTGCTCAGAATCACAAATGTTTAGGTTATTTTTACGTTTTATTCATTAAAGAAGCCGAAACAAGTCTCATCTAAATTTCTGTCTGTCTGTAACACTCAAGATGGCATTTTACGCAATCTTCTCCAAGAAAACGGGAGTACCTATCAAGATCCAAGTTATTTTAAGGTATTCACTGAATTGTTGAGAGTGTCTTTAGCCATTAAAATATGGCCTCACTACTTTGTAAATCAAATTACGGACGTTCAAAATTGCAGGTTGTGCGATTTTTGTCAAGTTTTTGTCAAATTTTTATCACATAATCATCTATGAAATAACAAACAGCTGTTCGGATCAAGATTAGTTTTTCTAGCTGTCACTGATATGTTTACAAATGTTGCTTACAAATACCGCAACCATTGGATCACGTTTTGAAGGCAAATCCCAACCAAGTGAGATTAAAAACGTTTTTCTTACATAACGGATTTAATTAATCGCTAGTGCAATAATGTAGTGTAATAGTGTAACCTAAATAAAATTAAATAACTAGGCATCATCCAGGTCAGGAACCAGAGATTCTTTGTGTATAAAATTATTCTTGAGTTTTGATAACCAGAAAGAAGACCTTGAATCAGTGTTGTATAGGGCTGGGAAACTTAAAATTTATTAATGATCGTCGCCAATAGCTTACAAACAAGGTTTCCATTAAATGGCGGTTGTGTAAAGTGTAAAGTAAAAAATCACAACTGCAGTGGGTGATTGTAACAGAGGTTTACGTTTTATGGATGATGCTAAACTTGCTTTTCCAATGTGTCTCCTACTCACCGTAGTAACTTTCAACTATAGGCCTACGTTAGGGCTATGCCTCATAGATCTAGGCATATAAAGCTTTTTTATTTTAATCATTGGATTTAACATATGGACCAACACGATCCGGGTGACATTTAATTGCGAAGTATTTTTTTTTGGCTTGAAACTTGTAGATACTGTATTTGCGAAGGTTTATATACAGGGTTAGTAAAAAGTGTGGAAACCCCCTGTTATTTTTTTAACGGCCCGTACTAGAAAAACATCATTTAAATATAAACCGAGTGATACTCTAGATAAATATATGCCGATGCTTGTTGGCAAATCTGTGCGTGCATACTTTCAATTTAAGACCTCAATCATGAAAATCGATTGGGTAGAAGAGCCAAACGAACTCGGAAAAGAGCAACCAAATTTAACTTCCATAAGAAATACATGGGGAGCAAATTTCGTTTACATGTAAACCGAGTGATACTCTAGATAATTATATGCCGATGCTTGATAGCAAATCTGTGCATGCATACCTTCAATTTGAGACCTCAATAAATAAATAAAAATGCCTTTATTTACGAGCGAGTTTCATGATACATGTTTTTCAAACTAACTCAAGCTAACTCAATCATGTTAATCGGTCGGGTAGAAGAGCCAAACGAACTCGGCAAAGAGAAACCAAATTTAACTCCCATAAGAAATACATGGAGAGCAAATTTCGTTTATGTATAAACCGAGTGAGACTATAGATAATTAAATGCCGATGCTTGATGGCAAATTTGTGCGCGCAGACCTTCAATTTGAGACCTCAATCATGAAAATCGGCCGGGTAGAAGAGCCAAACGAACTCGGAAAAGAAAAACCAATTTTTTTTAATATATGAGATTGTAATTGAAATGAAATGAAAATACCCCCGCCGCAGCAAACCTGCAGACTAAGCGAATTTCCATTTGACTGATTGGATTTACACTGAAATGTCTACTTAAAAATATAACATTTATTCCCGATTTAAATAGAATTAGTTTAACAAGTACTTAGGTTTGCTGCATCAGGGAGGGTAAAACTGTTTTTTTTTGTAAAATGTTAATAGTTAGTAAGAAATAAAAACATTTTCCAAATTTGATCAAAATATGTTCATAAACAAGCAAACTACAACAGTTTACTCATTCTCCATAAGAATAACATGGGAATTTTAAATTTACAATTTTTTGGAATTTTCTCCGTAACCATTAGGCGCATAATAACGCTTCAATATACTAAATTATTTGTTTTTTGAAGCTCTACAAAATGGTTTGGAAATAAATTGCTAAATTTTATGTTTTTTGGGTCAAAAATGGGAAAAACCTATTCATGCTGGATCGCGAACTCGTTCGAATAAACGTAGGTTTACACGTTTGTACCAAATTTCATCAAAATCGGATCATTTTTGCTCGAGTTATCGTGCTGACGGACACATATATATATATATATATAAATATATATATATATGAATTTGAACGGATGGTGTTTTTGGCCTCTAGGGACCTCAAAACAAAAAAAAAAATCGGTCCCGCGTCCAGGTCTTACCATGAGTACTACGGTAATAGCTTATTCCCTATATGGGAAATTCGCTAAAATGAAATGAAATATTTATTTGCCACATAGAATTTACATAATTGTGATACATCACCAGTAAACATATGACACGTCAGTTTTTCAAACAAAATACATGATATTATTTATTTTATTTCATTGTAGTTACCGTAGTAATATATTAAAAAATAAGGTCAAAAGATTAAAATATAACAATACCCCCGTCGCAGCAAACCTGCATACTAAGCGAATTTCCATTTACCCAGCTTGATTTCTTCTAAAATATTCCCTATAAATTTTCAGATTTATTTCCTATTTAAATAACATTAATTTTATTTTAGTGAGTAGTTAGGTTTGCTGCTACGGGTAAGATGTTGAGGTGTGTTTTTTTAATTGAAATATTGATAGCTTAGTATGAAATAAACCAAATTGCCAAATTTGATTAAAATATATCCATAAACAAGCAAACTAAAACAGTTTATTTATTCTCCATAAGAATAACATGGGAATTTTAAATTTAAAATTTTTTTTATTTTCTCCGTAGTCAATGAACATTCAAAAACACTTCAATATACTAAATTATTTGTTTTTTTAAGCTCTTCAAAATGGTCTAGAGAGAAATTTAGAAATTTTAAGTTTTTATGGTCAAAAATGAGAAAAACCCATTTTTACCCCATAAAACCCCCCATAAACCCCTGATCCCATGGTCCGATTATGCTGGTTCGCGAACTCGTTCGAATAAATGTAGGTTTACACGTTTGTACCAAATTTCATCAAAATCGGATCAATTTTGCTCGAGTTATCGCGCTAACGGACACATATATAAATATATATATATATACTTTTGTACCCACCCGGAGAGGCAGTCACCGCGCTGGTAATTTACTCGGTGTGGCAGTCACCCGCCCGAAAGCCAGTCAGCTCTCCCAAAAGCCAGTCAGGTATGGCTTCCCGTGCACTTTATACGTTTGAAAACAGCTTAACCGGTGCTGCTGCCTGTGTCGATAAGCGTAACTGCAATACCAATGCGGAGACTGTCTCATCGTGTCCGTGTGTTCTATCGTCTTTCGTGGAGTAGTGTAGCCAGTACGGCACCCTCCTCCCTCCTCGCCTACTTTGTAGCGGTAACACCCAGCGGTCGGTAACCTTCGTTTACTCCTTGTTACTATTGATGTT